TATATTTTGAACGCAGTTGTATGCTTTCAACTACAGATAAAATGTATGTTGGTCATTTTACTATAAATATGGATTTTTGGTTGGTTGATTTTTTTTAGCAGCATATCAACATCTATGGATTATTTAATGCCGAAATCCGTATATTTTGTACGTAATTATATGCTTTCATCTACAGATATTTTTGTACATAATTTTTATACAGGATAAAGTTATGTTTTGTAGATATATATTTTGCAGATAATAAAATCTATTGTGGCTCATTTTATAAAAATTTATGGTTGATTTTTTGTTTGGGCGTTAACTATTTGCTCGTAGCTGGGACCCTAACAGGTGCTACCACCCGGGGTCAGGATGGACCTGGGAACAACAGCAATTACAAGGTGGTTCCACGCGCTCGTCAAAACCTTCAATCTCCTGATCAGAGGCTTTGCTACCGGATGTAGTTTATCGTCAGACCCAGGATATATGGAACTCGAAATTGTTTTTAACGGGTTTTCTTCTTTTAGGTGCCGTGTCGGCCCAGAACTTTGATGATCATGCCTCTCTGCAAATTCCTATTATTCGTAGTTCTTAACACTATTTTTCTCACTATTCTTTTCCCTCCCCTATTTTGCCTTCCATTTACTCAAGCTTGTTAGATTACTCACTGTTTTCCTCTGTATCTCAAATTCTCCAAGCACCATTTTTCCCAATATGTGTCTTGGAAATTTCACCCGTGTCCGATTCTAAATACGTGTCTTTTAAAAACTTAAAACTTCCTCGTTGCTTACATGCTCCGTCCATTTTATTCCCAGCATCCTTATCTAGGACCATATTTCTGTTGCTTTATGTCTATTTTTCATTTGCAAGGAAATTGTCCAAAATTCATTGCCATAGCGGAGGATTGATATTACGTAGCAGTTCAGCCCTCTTCGCTTCTAACGCTTAGTTATATTAAAACTTATTAACACAGATAAACGATAATTTAGTGAGGTATTTATACCGCTTTCTCACTTGGTGGTGCAAAATGGGTTAAGGAGTTAAGTTATTTATGTGCGATCTTATAAAATCTGCATTACAGGGGAAGCTAGGGGACACCAATGTATGGTTTGACTAAATTTGCAGGAAGTAGTATGTTGATTAATTGTCACGGCTCTCATAGCGAAGATTCTTTATTCTTTATTTTCATAGCGAACACCCGTCCTCTACGTCGACGGATAATCGCTTATCACGCCGCTGCGAACCAGTCCTTTTCTTTTAAGAGTTGAATCATGGATCTGGTCCAGGTTAGCGTTAGCCTAAAAAATATGTCTGGCATTGCTGGTGTACGTTTTCTTACTCACAAGCATGCAAGTAAACACACACGCACACACACACACACATATATATGTATATATATATACATATATATATATATATATATACATATGTGTGTGTGTGTGTATATATATAAAGGTTTCGTGAATTTTCGCTCATAAACGCCCTACACATTCTCAAGCATGTAAAATGAAAAAAAGGAAAAAAAAAAAAAAGAAACGTAGTAATGTACTGTGTAAACACAGCCAAGTAGACACAATTATATTGACAAATATTTACACATTTGCAACTGCCCGATTTTTGCGAATCTTTTTTCGGTGTAGAAAGCGCCGAAAAGAAACTGCTGTTGGGAAAACGCACAGAAGATGACTCTCAAGTTTCCTTTATGGGGTAACTGCATTTTTTTTTTTTTTTTTTACGAATAACGGCGGTCAGGCAAGTTTTACATATGTCCACACAGCAAAAAAGAAAAGAATAGAAAAACACCTGAAAAGCGATGACGCATATTTTCAGGGACACTGTTGGCCTTAAAAGGCAAAATGCATTAGTGACTGGCTGGAAGTAAAAGAAAGAGGAAAATGGCGACTCTTTGATTTTAGAGTTTTGAAGGTAGAAAACAGATTGAGCAGGAGAGATACGAAGAGAATGTGTAAGATTAATTGATACACTTAGACACATGCACACACACTCACATTCATGCAGAAATAAATTGATATATATATATATATATATATATATATATATACATAAATACATATATATATTTATATACATATATTATATATATACATATATATATGTGTGTGTGTATATAAAGGCAGAGAGATAAATGCATGAGTGTGTTCAGTCGATATGAATAAGCTGAAATAGATCTGTAGCTAGAAGGTAGATCAATAGAGAGATATTCAATAGATAAATAAACATAGGAATAGACAAAGATAGCGAGCTGGATTGATATGAATTGAGACAGAAAAATGTAGAAAAATAGATCAGTAGGTGAATAAGAAATAATAGGTTTATATATGTGTAGTCTGATGATCGCTTAAGGCTTTTACGTCCATACAGTATATATATATATATATATATATATATATATATATGTGTGTGTGTGTGTGTGTGTGTGTGTGTGTGTGTGTGTGTGTGTGTGTGTGTGTGCTACACTATCTTAGCAGTAGGGTATAAATATCAATATTTAAATTTGACAACAGTCAGTTTTCACGTAATGGAATGCAACGAACTCGACTGGAATTCGCGCTTTACTCTCTGATTACAAAGAGACAAATTGTAATATAGTCAAATAATGAAAGAAGTGTGAACAGTGTTAAAATATAACTAGTTTTGGGCGAATATATACACTGCATGCCAAATTATTATCGAGATAACTTTTTTTCTAATATTTCAAAAACCGTCCAATCAATTCACACAGAATTTTCACTCAAGGTTGGCAACACTGACTTGCGCAATCACTGAAATTTTCGTACTGATCTGCGCAATGTAAACAAACTGGCGCCACATTTGTTATCAGCACGGTGATTTGAGCGTGCCAAATTATTAGAAAGGTTTAGTAAAATTCCCAGAATTGAGCAAACAAAACGTTTATTAATGTTGCACGTGAATGTTTATGATCAAAAGAAGCTAATAAATAAGATAATCAAACAAATAATAACAGATACAAACAAAGGCACAGTTTAAAACAAATTAATAGGGAATGTGCTTTCCCTGTTTTGAAATTACTTGAAGAAGTCAACGATCCATAGAATTTGTTAATTGTAGGATGTAATCTGCTGTAATGCCGTGAGATATGTCAAGAATTGCTTCCCACAACTCAGCGTTGCTCCTGAATTATCGTTCGTTGGCGTACAGTCTTCGCTTCATGATGCTCCAAAGGTTTTCGATTGGGTTCAAATCCGGAGAATTTGCTGGCCACTTCATTTTTCGAGGTCCATCGAAGCCTAACTGTTTCAAATATTCAGTAGTCTTCTGAGCAGCATGTGAGGGAGCATTATCTTGCATAAAAACAATGGCCCTTCTGAAGGCAACTCTTTGCCTTTTCATTCACTGTCCAAGATGCTCCTTCATAAACGCTATGTATGCATCAGCAGTAATTTTGACGCCATCTGGTACTCTCCATGGGCCCACTAATGTTTTTTACAATAATACCACCCCTGATCATTATGCCTCCACCGCCTTGTTGGTGTCTCAAAAGCTGATGGCGATTCTGTCCGTTCATTACCCAGCCTTTGCCTCATCTATCTGGCCCATCAAGTGTTGCTCGAGTTTCGTCTGTGAACAAAACTTTAGAGAAGTCAATCTTCATATTATCCTCGGCCCGTTTCAATCGATTTTGAATGTGATTTCTCGTCAACGGAGTCTTCGATACAGGTTTGACTGTTGTTGCTATTTCCCTCAGATACCGACACCGAGTACTTTTAGACACAGTAGGATCCCCAATGCGACTGAAAAGCTCTTGACTGGTAAGTCCAGGGTTCTTCGTGGCCTCTCGTTTAAGTCGTGACATGAGACGACGTGAAATAACTCTCGACTTGCCTTTATCTGCCCTTTTGCGTACTTGTGTAAGGTCGGCAGTGAACTTTTTTACTGTTTGATGACACCTCCCTATCATTTTAGAAATTTCTAGGGTAGATTTACCTTTTGAGAGTTCTGAGGTGATAGTTTTCTTTTCAGCATCACTTAAACTGCTTTTACGGTCCATCTATTCACTAAATTCTTACACTTTTCTAATAATTTGGCACGCTCAAATCACCGTACTGATAACAAATATGGCGCCAGTTTGTTTACATTGCGCAGATCATTACGAAAATTTCAGTGATTGCGCAGGTCAATGTTGCCAACATTGTGTGAAAAATTTGTGTGAATTGATTGGACGGTTTTTGAAATATTAGAAAAAAAGTTATCTCGATAATAATTTGGCACGCAGTGTATAGTACTTTGTTTACATAGTATAAACTATACCCCACCCACAAGAAAATTTTTTATCACTATCTTTATGTAATAAGGTTAATTATGATAAGCTTGCACACACACACACACACACGAAATATAGCGCATATATGTAAAATATGTCACCAACATAGCTTGGCTAATACAGTTTTTTTTTGTGAAAATATTGACTTGCATAATAAAATCTGACATTGTGTATACAAATGAAGTCATTGACATTTCAATGGACCAAATGAGATAAAATTTTATAGATTAGTTTGTTTTCGACGATTTATCAAATTTTTGCATATTACTTAAAGACAGAAAAATAGTTTGCTTTTTTTTTAGATTGTAAGAATTTTATATTTTTGGAGATTATAATAATTTAGTGATACAAGTCTTACTAATTAACCCATAGCTGGGGACAGAAGAGGTGGATTCATGTCTTTCTCGATTAACAATTTAAAGACATTATCCATTACACCAAAATTTTATACCATATTTTTATACTGTAAGAATTTTATTCTTTTTGAAGATGATAATAATTTAGTGATACAAGTCCTACTAATTTGCCCATAGCTTGAGGCGAGGGAGAATAGGTGGATTCATGCCTTTATCAAGGGTATTCGCGCGTAAGTGAATATAGCGAACCTAACTGAAATTCGAACTCGGCTCTAAGATAAACGAGCCAGAGTGAAATTGGAATTTGGCTCTCCGATTTCCATTTCCTCGCCGTTACACATTATAGCATCAGCACACCCAAGCATACAACACCTGGTATTTCAAGGCGGTGACTGATCTAGGTACTGACCAGATTCGACTTTGCTTAACTTCGGTGATCATACGGGAACTGATGTTTCAACGTAATATGGCTGTAAGCAAAATTCAAGAGATATAGTTATGAACTGACGAGAATGGAATATAGAGCGTGTCCACTTGTCTTTAGACAATTTCATAAAGTTGTTTCGAAAAACGAAAGGAGTGGCAACTAAATTTTCGTTTCATATTAATATATTCTTATTATGTTTCAAACCGCAATTAATGTTGTGTTTATGTTTCAGACCGCAATGTCTTTGTTGACACCCTGTATAGGGAAAGTAAAATAATTCATGTGTAACTGTAAATAGGCTAAAGTAGAATGCGCAGTTCATAAGTATCAACAGACTGTTGTAGATTAATCAGTAGAAAAGAAGAAAATCAAAGAAAAAGACTCATAGTTAACGATGAAGAATCTTAGGGCGAGAGTTAGATAAGCAAAAAATCAGAGCTAGATAAATATAAACAAAATCAGAAATCAATAGACTGTGCTAGACATAGAACAACACTGATGATCACTTTGATATTTCTATGGGATAATTAGACTCTGCAGAGTTTTCTCACCTGGTGGGTATATTTATCCTATATAATCTTAGCGCTTATGATGATGTTAAAGTTAATAATATGAGGTTATACAAAGATGATGGTCTTATGGTAGTAAAAATTCCACAAAAATTAAGATTGATAAATTAAGGAACATGACCCATAGAGAATTAAAAAGTTTACACCTTAAGGTTAAAATAAATACTAATATTAAACAGGTAGATTTTCTTGATGTTACGTTGGATCTTGTTAATGGTGTATTCCAACCTTCTATAAAAGTCAATGCTAACCCATTATATATTCACCTTACACTAACCACCCTCCATCTCTAATCTAACATATACCCTCATCTATAGAATCTAGGATTAGCAACAACTCAACTAACAAAGATAGCGGTTTTTTATAATACCGCTTTAAAAATAGAGGTTACAAATACGCAGAAATTAAGTATAGAAAAACATGATTATAGCAATCTAAAGAAAAGAAATAGGAATAGAAAAACACTTTGGTATACACCCTCTTTTAACCAAATGGTCAGTACTAAGTTAGGCCAGAAGTTCCTCCATTTAATTCATAAACATTTCCCGAGAAATAATCCTCTCAGTAAAATATTTAACAGAAACGCACTAAAACTAAGTTATAGCTGCACTGACAATCTTGAGAAAATTATAAAGAAATTCAATAATAAAATGTTAAACCAATTTAGAAACTTGGATGATAATGCAAATTCCAAGATAAATACTGTTGATAATATAACCAATGTAATTGCAAGAATTCTAACGAATGCCCATTGTAAAACCAATGTATGACCAGCTCTTGTTTATCTAAGTACTATTCCTACAATAGAAAATCCGACTCTTGAAAAAATTTATACTGGGAGTACTAAGAATTCTTTTAAGACTAGATGGTACCAATATATAATATCCTTCACCAATAGTACTTATAAAAATAGTACATCTCTTTTTAAATATGTTTGAAATTTAATAAAACTCCGACGGTAAAATGGAAAATATTAAAAAAAAAGATAGAACGTGTAGATCTTTAAATGAACCGTGTTTCTTACGCAGTGTGAATATACAGTGTTTCGTATGCATAGATTCTTATGAGAAAATAGAAATTATCAAGTTTACTAATCAACACTCCTTATTAAACTAAAGAAGTGAGCTAACTGTAAATTGTAGGCATAGTTTATCTTTTTCCTTACAATATGTTTAAGCTTCGAATTTTATAATATTTTTTTCTTACAGTGGTAATGAGTAGATGTACTGCGGTGCACCTTATATGGTTTATTATTCTATTGTGTAAAATTCATTTAGACTCAATATAGCTCTGTATTGATGTCTAGTTAGTATTATTAACATATTATATGGATGTCAAAAAGAGGAAGTATTCCGCTTTTGAAATTAATCTTTCACTCACCAGTAATTGACCATCGCCCGAGGAGACATATTTGTAGTGTAGAAACACGATTGCTATCGTGTAGGATTTTTGACTTGTTTTTGTTTTAATCTCCGATAATAAATAATATTTAGCTCTATTCTGTATTGAGCCCTCATTTAAATTAAATGTTACGGAGAGTGGAATTATACTTCACTTGTTCTTATCTTATCTTATATATATATATATATATATATATATATATATATATATATATATGTGTGTGTGTGTGTGTGTGTGTGTGTGTGTGTGTGTGTGTGTGTGAGTGAAAATATATAGAAAATAAGAAAGAACTCGTTAGGTAAATAATCCAAAGTTCTTTATATTTTTGTTATTATTTTAAAAAATAGTGCTCGATACAAAAGTAGAGCATAAATATAATCTATAATTATATATATATATATATATATATATATATATATATATATAGAGAGAGAGAGAGAGAGAGAGAGAGAGATAAAATGCCTTCACCATAAATTGCACAAATTATCACATTTTTACCTCTCTTAAAATAAAAAAAGCTTAGTATGCTTAAAATATTGCTTATTTTCATTCAGCTTTAATGCTAAACTTAAACGAAAATAGACTAATTTTGAAAATAAAAAAAATTCTATATGAAATGACAGATATTACAATAAAATAAAAAACGATCTTTTTAAAAAATAAGTTGTTTAAAACTAAACACTTCTAATACTTTCTAACGAAAAACACAGCATTATTATTTTTTTAGCAAACCTGAGGCCAGTTGCAGGTTGTGATTACTTTTTATGACGTCACTTTTTTGCAGTATTATCATGTTACGATATGTGAGAAAGAGACCATTAATGAAAAGGGAAATATATGTAAAAATGTCTGGCAACTGATGCATTTGTTGGCTTTGAAGGTTTTACTTTGACACCAGTTAATGCTTCCTACTTGATAGAATTATTGGCAGGCAGGAGAGAGGAAAATGGATTATATTGTTGTTTAGCAATAATGCAATCCTTACCGATAATTTTCTCCATATATTTGAACTTACTAATAACGAGTAACCAAAAATATCTTCGCTTTGAATGCAATATGGCCGACAACGGAAACAGTTCCTCCATATTTGAGCAGATGCAATTGTGGCATATGGTGTTTGATTAACACTTTGTTACAAACAACGGTTACAATAGCAGTTAGAGCTTTGAAACATCAGCCCTAGAGGTTGACTAAAATAAAAATTAAAAATGGTTCCATGAATTAAATTTATAAGGTTATGAGCGGCAAAAATATAACTTAGATGAAATATTCTCTTGGTAGACGGCTTTTTAAAAAAATAATAATAACTCGATAATGATAGAACTTTTGTGCTACGGCTTTGCTAATTTTGGCAGCTCGTGTGGCGGATATTGACACGGAGAGTGATCTGAGTTCAAATTCAGGGCTAATTAGTTGCATTCACTTCCGCACAAATTCTGTTGGTACGGGAATTAAGTCATCTCTTCAGCTATTGATTTAGGGTAAACTGGGCTCTCTAGCTTTGGTTGGCAACCAGTCCAAGAGAAGGCAACGGAAAACCGCTCCGCTAACTTTTCCAAAAATGGGTGCCAATCCACAGATAAGAAAGAAAAAGAAACAGTGGAGAGTCTAACCGCTTCCGTCATGAAGGGAAAAGGTGTCTGAGAAATGTCAGCTTAATCTGAAACAGAACCACCCGACTTGAAAATTAAATACCTTTGGGTTATAAACGATATTATTCGAAGTACTTGCTTTTATATGCGTTCTGCGTTTCTTACCAAGAAGAAAATTAGCATTTGAAAATCCGGATTTTAATCTTGCCTTGGACAAATACTGTAGTGAAAATAATACGTAACTACTGCAGCCACAGAACAAGCCAACAATTTTTTTAAATGCTCAGATTCATCCAGCACATTTGTCATTTATATTAACAAGTTTGGTCATAATTTCTTATTAAAAACCCAGTTTTTATTAAAGGAGAAATTAGTTTATTAACGTGAAAATGTAATGAAACCTTCTACAATAAATTTAAGTCTAGAATCATAAAATTTATCTTTTTTACTCACAGAACTACTGCTGATACAATGTTGAGTAACTGAAAACAACAGAAATAAAAACAAAAACAAAAGCGATAGAATGGCGTATGAAATAGGTTAAATGAAAAACTCTAACTAGATCGGACATCGTCAATTAAATTTAAAGTTGAGCGTATCTATATTTTTAAACCATCGATATAAACTGTAAATGGTATTTGCTGTATTTTATCCTTTCAACTTTCTCTCTTTTATATGTTAGACTGATTCCATCAATAAAATCCTCCTTATTTTGAAGCATTCCCTTCTTGGAAAGAAACATGTCACTAAGTTTGTTTTACCCAAAGACACACACACATTGTATACTTGGATACTGTATGTGAGAGTGTATATATATATATATATATATATATATATATATATATATATATATATATATATATATCAACTCTAGGACATCAATGTTTGTCGGGCTCATTACAATCTTTTATATGTCTATGTGTTGTTAGTGTGTTTATGTATCTCTGTGAATTTTTAGTTGTATGCTCACTACTGCTGAATAATGTCATGTTCTCAATACTACCCCAATTACACTCCTAACCCCTACCTTCCAGTCAACGCTTTACTCGAGGTCGGGTTAAATTTGCTAAAATCTTTACACTGTACAGAATAAATTATTTAAAATGAACATTTGAAAACAATAAGTTGAAATAAAAACAGTGTATACCACTCATTAGAGATTATTTATAAAATTAAAGCAAGAAATACATTGTCTATTAAGTATGTCTCCAGCGCAGAACTACGCAGCCCGACTAGCCATGTTAATTTTATTTCCAATTCTTTTACTTAATTTTTTGTTTTTTGTTTCTTTCGTCTTCCTTTCTTCTTTATTATGAACAATATCAACAAAAGGCATTTCTGTCAATATTTCAAAGCAGTGATTTAAAACAATTAATTTTGGATCCTGTCAAGAATGAAAACGACACACTACAAAAAGATTTGATATATATATATATATATATATATATATATATATATATATATATATATATATATATACTTGAAT